TAATTATGTCATATCCCATTAAAGGAAGAAAAGTTGCAGAAGTTCATAGCCAAGAACAGAAACCTTTATTACAGAAAAACTGCCTAAAAGGGACTAATCTCAAATGAGCAATCAATTATTAATGCGGGATGCAAACAGCAGAAGTAGTGTCATAGAAAAATAAGAGAGGATATTCAGACAAATGTTGTTTTGAAACAATGGAAACTATCCTGAAGAGGATCTCATCCATTTGAGCAATTATTATGGAAAATTATTACAGAACACTTCACAAACTGTACTATGCTCCACTTTAATACAAGAAAACAACAGCCGGAGAGATTTTTTCCCACATACCTGACTACACTAAAGTAACTGTATTATGAAGGAAAAAAATAAATTAAACTTTCAAGATAAGAAAAGTTAGTCTACCCACAGTGAATTTTTAAGTGACAGTCCAAAGGGGGTTTTATATTTTGAGAAGAACTTATTGCTGTAATTAATAGCACAATAATTGCTAACAGTAGATGTGTTATATTTACCCAAAAAAAAAATGTTCCCCAGTATTAGTGATCAGGAGAAATAACATGTGTAATGCAGAAAATAGCATAACTACATATGGTAATCCAAAGTAATTTCACTTTGAAAATTGAGCAAATGAACAGCAATCTAATAATAAGCCGTGATGAAAGACACTTACTAATAAAATCACTTCATTCTTCTATAGAGAGCTTATGTTTAGAAATGAAGAGCGTACTTAGGGTTTTCAAGGCTAACAACTCTCGGTGCCTGTTAAGAGACTCTCACTTGCTTTTCACCTTTGCTCAAGAAACTCAAATTTTGAAAGTAATTAAGAGCTTATGCCCATCCCACTGTGACTAATTTAAACAAATGTGAAATTTCAGGAGGGAATGGTATATAAGAATGGCAATGCTGGGCTAGGACATCAGGCCAAAATGCCATGACTGGAGCTGGGTGCTGGCTGTGCCGCGCAGAGGCCCGGCTGGATGTCGCCAAGCTGGGAAAGCCTCTGCCCACAAACCCTGGGTCCTTGGGGCCGTGCAGGGCAGGGGGAGCCTGGGCAGCTCCCTGCGCCTGTCCCAGCACCCTGGCTATGTAGGGGAGAGCCCCCGTGTCCCCTCCGTGGGGTCTCGCTGCTGCCTCTCCTGGGGAAGGGAGCCCTGCACACGGGGAGACACCCCATAGCAACAGCAGTGCCTCCTCTTTCCCTTGACTGCTCCTGAAGCAAGTTGTGCTAGCAGCTGAACACCGCACCTGTGTCCTTCTCAGACTGGTTCTCCATCGCTACGTGTCCTTGTCAGCACCAGTGAGCTGCGTGCTTGGTTATTTTCTCTTCTGCAAATGAGTCACCTCTTAGACCCTGTAATTTTCTCACACGTACACGCTGAAAGCTGCTCAGCTGTAATTAAAAATCTCCATGAGGAAGGGTGCCATTGGTAAGACCTATGGTCTTGGTATTAGTGTTTATAACCAGAAAGATCCCATTTCCCTTTCACAGGGGCAGGCTGTGTTAGGAGAACCTTCTGTGAAGGCTCCGTAGCTGTTCCGTGACCTCGCCTGGACATTGTGACTCGGAGGAGAAGAACCTCGTTGCGCTGGTGACCAACGTTGTATCATCTGGGGCTTGGATTGCATCAGCTCTCATCTGAGAAGAGAACAGATCAGATTTTGGGCGTGAGACCCCCAAATGTTCCAGGGAGTAGTGCCAGTCTTCTGGTAAGAGTTTTCCTTTCCTTTGAATTAGCTTTGCATCCTGTACAGTTTCACACAAGAAAGGCAAACCTGAGCATTTACAGCCTTGAGAGAGATCAGGACAAAATGAATATATTACCCTTCTGTCCTGTACAGATTCAGACTTGTCTTCTGCCAAATTCCCTTTACAATGTGTAATAAAGTGTGGCTTGTAAATGTGTCAGCACTTAATAGTGCCTCGAATCAAGTATTCATTCATCCTAGCAACTAATGTTGGTGCCAAACTTGGCTGCCTGCTTATTATTTTTGTATGGCTTACATAAAGGACTCAATGACCTTTCCTAGGAGGCTAAAAATTGTAAAAAATTGTAATAAAGAGGCTTTTGATAAAGGTTGAGCAGAACTAACACTTACATACACTTTGTTGTTTTTTTAATTCTGGGAGATTGCTCAGTGAAGGTAACTGCTTGTAGAGATTTTGAAATGTATATAACTTACAGTGCAGTGTATGGTATACAGAGAAGAAGCAAAAGTCCAATTCCCCAGGAACAGGGTATCTTCAGTGGTTTTATTTCCCTAGGTTCAGCAGAAATCTTTCAACCAGTCTAGTCATTAGAGGCCACGATAGGGTCGTATTTGGACATAGAATATAATGCTGCATAACCCAGTGGAATTCTTGACCCCGAAGCAGATGACCATTGTCAGCTTTGATTTCATTGCCAAAGTTTGTGGGGTTTTGTTCTAATCTAGGCCAAACAATTGTGGCATCCTAGATATTTGCTTCCTTGTTGTACCGGCTAACATTTCTCTCCAATTTCAATCTGATTATCCTGATGTGGGTTGAGTCTTAGATATTTCTTAGGTCTTTCTTCTCAAACAACAGCCTTGTTTTAAATTCCCTAGTCGCTAGCCCTTACTGTCATCCTCCCTTTTTGTCAGAAACCAAGGATGGTTTCCAGAAGTTAGCATACTACAGCAGGAGATGAGAGACCACAGTCCAGCACTGTGCTTTGCCAAGATGATTGTGGGATTTGAGAGAGGTCACTGGGTCTCATTCTCAGTTTCCCCATCTGAAATACAGCTCCCAGACACAAAAAGCAAAAACAAAAAAGTGCTCCGTTGCCATTGCATTGTGACCCGTGTAAAAATTTTAATACGAGTATTGAAAACTCTGCTCTACAGGCTTGAAAAAGACACAGTATCATTTTACTGCTTTGAAAATACCCTACAGAGCACTGTCTTGTAAATTAGTGAAGTTCTGGCTAATAATGATTTATACTATTTTAGGAATAGACATTTTAGAATTGTACTAGAGGGATTATTATTTATTCATATTCTAATACAAGCTCAGATTCCTACTTATGGAGACTCATGGTGCTTGTCACCATAAAAACAGGTTAAAGAGGCAGGCACATGCTCAAAAAGTTTATAGACTAAGAGGCAGCAGATGACGACCACCAAGGGAGCAACACAGCAGGCAGGCACATAGGCAGTTTTTCCCTGTCTTGCTGACTTCATTGCAAATACCCATCTTTTAGAGAGCCTGGAAGAAGGCTGATGAGATCATCATGCATGCATGGGGAGTCTTTCTGGAGCAGGATTCGCAGCGCAGGAGTCAGCACAAAGCTCTTGCTTCAAAATGTAAGAGAATAATCCTGACCTGAAGCACAAATCACCCTCTAATGACACGCGGGAGGTGGTAAGCAGGATGGATATAGGATTAAAATGCTCAGAGGACAGAGTGATAAAAGTTTATCACACTTCAATTGAATGTTTCACAGTTTTGTATATTACTGCAATACATTAAAAGGTGCCTTTGGCATAAAGAGCCATAACGGTGCTCAGTTTGATCTGAGCCTTCAGATGTTATTATACACGTTCAAATCTGGAATGGAGCGAATAATTAAAAGCCCAGGCTTGAGCCAGGACTTCCCACTCCATGCGAAACTCCCAGGTTTGAGCATGTGACAGGTCTCAGCTTTCCCAGGCCAGGGCAGGCTCCTGGTCTCAGCTTTCCCAGGCCAGGGCAGGCTCCCGGCCAGGAGTGGCTGTGGGACTATCATGGAAGCAGCAAAGGGAATGTGCTCCCACCTTGCTCATTTATTGCACTTTTGATGGGACTTATTGTCACGCATTCTGCAATCTGCAAAACCCCAGGCTGTTGTGAATCACCAAGCCTGCAATGCAGTGTAGTATCAACTTTTCACGAGCAAACAGGGGCCAGTTAGGTCCGCGTAACTGCCCTGGATTACTGCTCTATCTGCTCTGCTCGCGGACAGCAGGCTGCCTGGCTCAGCGCGCCAGTTTTCGCTCGCACACTGACCGCGGCCGCGGGAGATGCGGGTGCCGCGGGGCCGGGCCCGGGCCCGGGCCAGCCCGGCGGGTAACCCCGGCCCCGCCGCGGGCCTCGCGGGCCGCCC